TTTAAAAATCGGGAAAAAAGATTGCTGGGATCAGCAGTGTACACTACCACACCCAGACTTCCAGATCTTTCCATTGGCAGATCTGAGCACCGTCCTTTCCCTGAAACACCATCTTTTCTCCCTCTCTAACCCTTCTTTTCCTCTCTCTCTCTCTCTCTCTCTCTCTCTCTCTCTCTCTCTCTCTCTCTCTCTCTGCACGTGCATGTGTGTGTGTGTGTGTTAGTTGTTCTACAAAGCTAGAGATCTCAGACTGGACAAAGAACTTGCCTATTATTCCTTCAGAAGTCAAATGTTGACAGCTCTGATACTTAACAACTGAATAAACAAGGGCAGAAACAAACTGACAGACTGGATAAAGAAACCGTGCAACCAGGCGTGATAGCACGTGATAGCACACACCTACAAAGTAAGTTCCAGGCCAGCTAGGGCTACAGGGTGACCTTGTCTCAAAAAGACCAAAAAATGTGCAAATCTTACATAATTTAGATATATAAATGGTGATATTCTTGATACTTTGACAATACTATTAGTGAACATCCAGAAGTCAAAAAGAAATGAACAAACTAAAACAGGAAAAAAATCAAATTTAATTCATTATGTTGCCTACTTTATGGTCCATAATTCTGCCAATTCTATTTCTAAGAATATCAATTGCTGAAAATATGATGATGGAATGATGGAGGGTTAAGCTTGTGTGTGACAAGTGGAGAAAATTATGTAAATCCATATAAAATATAATATAATCCCACATTAACCAAAGGAGTCCAAAATGTGCATGATAAAGCAACTGCAATTTAAAAAATTAAAATGTTTCTGCCTTTGCTTATCAGTTACTCATAATAGATGAACATGTATATTTTGGATACATATATTATTATAAAGCCAAAATTAACATTTCTGCATCCTTCCACTTAAGAAGCCATATCATATTCTCCAGTGACAACAAAATCTAGCCCTGTTATTTTTAAAACAGTAAAAATAATAATTTCATTTTATACTCATGTAACAAAATCCTCTGTAAGATACTTGCAAGATGCTCAATGTTTTAGCTATTTAAGATGAAAAATAACTTTCACTGGATATATTTAGATAAATTCAAACATAACAGCTTCTATGGTATTGAAGTAATAATGGCATCTACATATAAGTGTTCATGGACTTCATGTATCACACATCATTACTAACACAAAATAATTCAACTTAAAGCCAAATTCAACTGATACAAATTAATTTCTCCATCAAATTTTTTTTAATTATAGAGATATGTCACACAAAGAACTGTGTCTTTGCATACAAAACACATCTTTAAACCATAAAGTGTAAACACAAACTTCCCATTACATTTCCAACCTGGTGAATCTATCACTCATTGACATGCTACTCCACATATAGATATACCATACTACACAATATAGAACATTCAATATTTAACTTTAAAAACATACTGAAAACAAAATAAAAAGCAGTGAATTAACGTTGAGAGGTACTTTACTATCCTAAAGGTAAAAATAAGTGTTCCTTAATATTAGAATATCCACAGTATCCCAAATACCATCACATGTACGAAAGCATAGAAAAGTGTCACATAGGCCCTCTCTTCCAAACTTCTTCATCTTATCTCCTAAATCCATGATAATTTTGCTTAGAAATTTTTAAATCAATATATACTCTAGCAATAGAACTACTCTCAAATGCAACATAGCAGCCATCAGTCTTCTTCATAAGTTATTAACAGTGCTCTCTTTGATTACATATAGAGCAATACAAAAAGACCACAGAATCCTAGATATGCTAAAATAGTAACAACCTAGTGTGTCTTCTTTAATTTCATTATGAGAAATATATCTTATGCCATGCAAATTTAATATAAACATCTCTGACAAACCTATATCCAAGTAAGCCTAAAGCAGCTTAGAAATTTTCCATATCAACAGCAGTTCACACAAAATGTGCCATGAAAAGAAAGCCACAGCATAAAATCCAATAAAAGACTATAATCTACAACATACGAATTCTAGTTTTACTTCTAGAATTACCTGTTAAAAATTTCATGCATATTTTACCAAGGATGATTAATTGTCTCTATATCAAGAAAATGTCACAAAACAATTATTCCTGGATATTTTATACAATAATTCTCAAGTGTTATTAAAATAATTTCTTTTTCTAATTTAAATATAAAACACTTTCCATATCCCCTTGGTTCTACTTACCCTAAACTACTCTAAAGGGAAGTGTCAAATTGAAGTTTTTCTCCAGTGAGCAGGTAGGTACATAAAGCAGGTAGGGTATCCAAAAGACAACCTTAAGGGATCTATTTTCATCTCTTTGTACCAAACCCTCAATAAGAAGTTTTCAACCAACAGTACATATATCTCTAACTGAATAGGCAACTTTAGTTAAAAGGGATATGATTTCTCCCAATTCAAATATCAGTGAAACATTAAAATGATCTTGCTCTTGGCATAACCTTAACAAATAATGGAAAAGGCAGCAGTGACAATAAATGGCAAATTTGGGACTTGTTCATTAGAGGAGAAATCTCTGCTTACATTCATTCATGTCAATTCTATCAGTTTTGACAAAATAAAGCAAAGGAAGACAAACAAACTATCCAACTGCATAGCAAATATAAATTGTTAAGTCAGGCCTAGTGACAGAAAAATAAATGTAAGATAAAGGTATCTGCTGATCCTTTAATATTTTTATTCTCTATACAAAAGAAAAATTATCACAAAGGTCATTCTGTAGACTTCCTAAATCACATTTCCAAGTTCTGATAATTACTATCACACACAAATTAAATTACTATTAAATCAATAGTTGTTTTATATTATCACTATGACTTCAAAATTTATTATGGATGGATTTACTGTCAGTTACCTTGACATCACTTTGGTACATAATTCACTGGGTAGTTAAAATAACCAGTCCATTTAAATTTGTAGTCCAATCTCAGGCAATATCACTAAAGAGGGCTATAACATTATGTATTCTCAATGTATAATAACTATCTGCCATATATCCTTCTCAATAAAACAATAAGCAGTGATTTTTAAACTATCTGTTATTTATTAAATTGAAGTCAGTATGATGAGCTTCTTTTTTTTGATGTTTGGGTTTCTTTGTTCAAATTAAGATTTTGAACAGGCTTCATTATGGCGGCTTCATACCTTGCTTTAATCATCTTTTCCTCTACTGTAATCTTCAGTTCCCTCGTCCCTCCTGCTGGTCCTACTCACTCTTCCAAATAGTCCTCAATTCTGCTTTAATGTCACTTCTATCACTGTAACCTCTCACCCCCTTCTCCTGTTAAATCACTTCTCCCCTCCTATAGTTTTTTTTTTTTTTCCTACTTTCATGCCTATGGGGATGGAGCTGGGGATGCAAGGAACTTGGCAGAAGATATAAGGAAGGAGGTACCTGTTCTCCAGTATAGCAGGGCAAGCACAGTACACAGGAGTTCATTACACTTTACAAAGTAATTAAAGTGAATTGGGTGTGGTAGCATCTATCTACGAGCCTATCACTGAAGAGGCTGAGGCAGGAGGACTAGAAGCTCAAGGACAGCCAGACTTACAAAGTGACATACAAGCTATCTTGAACATCAGAATGGGACTTTTCTCCAAAAAAAGTGAGACTTTCTTTCAACACAAAGAAATAATAAAAACTACGGAGAGACAAGAGAGAGACAGAGAGAAAGAGAGAGACACTAATTTTCCTGATGTGATAAATATTTTATATCTGTGTCAAATTGTTACACTGTACTCCATAAAAATGAACATTAAAGGCAATTTTATTTATTTTATTTTACTTGGGGTGGCTGTTGCTTTTTTTGTTTTGCCATAAGATTTCCCAGTAGCCCCAGCTGGCCTGCAACTTGCTATGTAGAATAGGACCCAATCTCAAAGAGATCTGCCTGTAAAGGCAAGGCTTAATTCCTTAAAGGAAAATAATTTAAGACTAAATATAATTGGTATTTTGCTACTCTGTTTTGAGACAGGGCTAAGAATTAAATCAAGTTCCTCTACATCTGCCTTCCAAGTGCTGGGATTACAGTCAGTTACCACTAAAGCTAAAGAAGACATATTAAAATATATGAAAGATTAAAAACACAAGTATACACTAGGAATATTTATTATACATTTACTGATTTCTAGAGTTTTAACATTTTATAACCTACTGTCAATTTAGTTAAGGTTTGATTTGAATCAATTTTAGCTAAATTTAAATGCAAAATTGATTTAGTTGATTCATTATTAGGAAAATAATAAAAAGTATGATTTTTTCCTAAAATATAATAAAGACAGTGTTCTTTCAAAATTAACTTGTCACATTTATATATATAAATATACAATAAGATATTTCAATATGTTGTTTATATTTATTTAAATTGTTACATTAACAGAGGTTTCAAAAAGTTGTCTGGGGTGAGTGAGATGGTTCTACTTGAAACTAGTCTTTATAACCCAAGTTCAGTCACCAGAATCATCATGGAGGAATGAGAGACTCACTTCCCTGAGTGCCACTCTGACCTCTCACTGTGTTCTTGGTCACATCTGTGCTCTCTCACACACTAACCAAACATCGTAATGCTTGTTGGCTTTCCTAAATTCAAAAGTTGTTGTCCTATATAACTGATATATAATAAGCAACATCCTGTGGAACCAGGTCATCCTTAAAGACACAAACCTTTTGATTTTCATTTTTACCATGTCAAGGGATAGGATTTGGGAATTTTAAAATGTAAAGCAAGAACCTTTCCACTTTTATCTTGAAAATAATTGAAGCTGCCCAAGGTTAGTTAGTGGGAGCCAGGATGCTCGGTTGACTCGGTTCATCTTTTCCCACACCTAGCTGCTAATCATGGTGCTACCATGCTGCCATATTGCAACAGCCCCTGTCTGCATGACCCAGAACAAAGCCTGAAATTATTATTTATGGTTTG